ACCTAGTGTTTCTGTGATTCTGTGATTTATTATTTTTGTAAGACTACTGTGTGCCACATTAAGGCCTAAATAAACTCTTCATTGTTGAAAGCTAAATAATGACAATAGCTGTGCATTGTAATCATCAGCATTTGTACTTTGCCCAGTTAATGTATACTACATAATTATGGATTTAAACGGTTAACACTATAACAGTGGTCCAAACAATTAGTGATTTTGTTGCCAGTGAAATCTGTATCTATTGATACTTCATGCTTGAAGCAACTGCATCTGTAACAGCATTTCAATCAAGGCTGCACCACCACCAAATACAGATGGATTCTGGATCCTTCCAATATTATACAACGGGATAAGATTAAGTCTGATGGTAAGGGACTTTTACTTTTCCAGCATATATTATTAACACCTTGTGAATAAAATCTATGCTTGGTACAAATTGTATGAAGGTGGTAAAGCTATCTGAGAAAAATCGTGCAGGAAGTGATTTCAACTCCAGAGACTCTCGGCTTCTCAGATTTTAAACAGAAATGCGTTGTGGCCTTTTGTATTAAGCAGTGAAAGAATAGCATTCTGTGTCAGGAGAATGAATATTTAATTGTGGCTGAGTGTTAGTGCATTTGGAAACACCAGTTACACGTGCTTAATGGTATTTCATCCCCAGCCAGCATGGGCTACTAGTCCACATGGACTACGGCAGCAGGCATTTGCATACGCCAGGGACAAATGACCAAGACTTCCTGGTAGTTTTTAACAGAGTGCTAAAAACAAAACAGGAAGATAAACAACCCTCCACCACGAGGCAGGTGATACAGTCATAGCAAAACTGTGCACCACGGCACTTTATACACTGTTTCCTCTGGGACACGTGGAAAAATCAACTACAGAGTTTAGGTGACAACCAAGCTGCTCTGTGCAGCATCTGAAGGCATCCAGCTACCAGGACGACCAATGGACCCTACGGGTCTCACAGGAATACAGGATAAAAGTGGGACACGTGTCCGATCCCAGTAACACGTATAGGACTAAGTGGCATTGGTGGCACTGAGGCACAGGGGTGTGATGTGGAGAGCTGGAGAGGACGGGAGCCTTTTGTGCGGCACAGAAAAGGTCCAATCTCACTGGCAGGCGCAAAACTGGCTGTTAATCCTTTAATGCTGTTGGGAATTAGGAGCTGTAAAATGTTTCCCAAACAGATCACCTCGTTAACTTGCTAATTCAGTTGCAAATCCTGTCCCAATCCTGGCTGCTTATAAAAAGCCTTGCTTGAAGCATAGCCAACTACTCGGAGTACTTGTGTTTATGATCTGGGGATCTATCAGAGATGAACATCCTCTTATAGCAGAGCTTTGTAGGAAAGTCTCTGGCTGGCTGATTTTTCTCCTTTCTCTATGTGGCATAGGCCAGGGAACCTGATGCTCTGTAAATCACCTGGCAAAGACTCAAAGAAGTTGCATGGAGGATGCTCTTCATGGATCCCCTATGGAAATCTGAAGCAGCGAACTTTTAGAAGTTAACAGAAAGAACGATTTCCTTTAAAGCTACACCTGTAAAAGTACATTAAACAGGCTTGGAGCAGCTCTTGGCCTTAAGGCCAGCTGGCACAGGACAGCCTGTGTCACTACCGTGAAAGCCATTTAACCTCTAAACCAGCATGGCTGCATTCAAGCTGCTTAATAGGGAATGGTCTCTCTCCCATCCCAGAGTCCAGCTGGGCTCAGAAATTGGACAGTAATTATGGGCCAAAAATATACCAGGGACCATTGTTGCAATTTAGCAGATTAATGGAGCAAGTTCCAGTGCCCAGGGACACTCCCTGGTGCTACTGATATACTGGGATAGCCATAGCCTCAAGGAGCCTTCGGACATTACAGCAAATATACTGGGCCACAGTGGACTTACATCAGTTCTTTCAATAAAAATGTAGCTCCGAGAGCTTTGCTGCAGCTCATTCCCAGAGCTCAATCCCAGAATCACAGTCAGACTGCAGCCTTCCTAAACACATAGTCGTGCAAGGGCTTTTAAACTTGGCCATCAAACCTGTAAAGAGCCTTCACTTCATTCTTTCCCATTGCAAAAAATGAAGTGTTGACAATGTATTCTGGAATGTCCTCTTCATGCAGGTGATTCGCAACAGGTTCTTTATGCCTGTGTGTTTTGATGCTTTCAGCTATGTTGACAGCTGCAGGTCACATTCCAGTACTGGCATGAGCCTCTGGGTGAGCCTCCTAACAGCACTTTGCATTTCAGTCTAATACTAGGGTAGTTTGGGTTTGATGAGCTATATTTTTCAGGATAAAAGGAAAAAAAGAACCAAACAGAAAACTAAAGTGTAATTTCAAGTTTTCTCTATAATTTTCAGCTAGATGATAGGCCACTGAAACTATGCATCTGGCCAAGGGAATTTTCTCACAATTTGTAAAATTTCTCAGATGATTTAAAAATACTACTGGTGTAAAAATGCATAGCCTTTGACATCCACGTATTTGCTATTGCAATTAAAAGCCAGAAAGGAGTTGCCTCCATTTTGATAAAATTAGTCTGGAAAAAAATTTGACTTTTAATATCCTGAGATTTGAGCTGCTTCCAAGCCACTAAAGTGGATATACATGCTTCGTGATCATTCAGCTTTTCCACTCTTTAAAGACACAACTGAGGTTCGTTCCTCCAGGAACTTCCAAGGACGCACAGAGTTTTGTGAGGCTAGTATAACGTCCCCGTTCCCATGAGGAGGGGAAATCAACAAAACTCTAGGACACCATTTCCCACAGTCCTACAGCACTCAGTCTACTTCATGTTGAGGAGTCCCTTAAACTGATGCTAGTGGAGAGGACTTTGACAAAATTTATCAGCTATACTTATCTGACAGAAGGGAGCAGAAATGGAGCTGCTTTTCTAAAGCCATTAGGTTTTTGCACATGTGGCCTTAACCGTCATTGGAATTGCGAAAACTGCCACTGTGGATGGACTAACTCATATGCAGTAGTTTTTTATAGGGAGGTTGAGGCATGTTATTAGTTCATTGGTGGAAATGTTCTCACTTGAACAATTTTAGGATTTTTTTATTCCATCACTGAAATGAAAAGTTTCTCTAGGAATTCTGCTCTGTTCTCAGTGCAGATACTAGCAACTGCAGTCACCAGCAGGCAGAGCTCTGAGTTTTGCTACTTTTGGTTAACATCAGATACAGCAAATTTTTCTTTGGGTTTGTTGGAACTATTTCAATTAAATATTACAACTTTATGTGTCAACAGAATTGTTAATTGTTATGCTATTCTGAAGAATCATTCTCCAGATCACTGCACAACATAATGCTCTTAGTTGCTGAACTTACCAGGTTTGCTCTTAAATTGTATTATTAAAGTTTGTCTTAAAAGTCTGTTTTAATTCTTTGTCATGTAAGTTTAATGCATGATGGTGGATTCTCCAGCTCTCAACCTAGACCAAGAGTCTTATCTTTTTTAAATGATCTGTCCCCCACTCCATGAAAACGAATAAATGAGTATATTCTTCCCAACTAGGTTTTACAACGTATCAGGAATAGATGGTCTCTAACATTAGCTGTAACATTAATGAATTTTTAAGTCATGTGCAAACTATGGATGTTCTAATGTTACAAGGTACTAGTTGAATAAGTAGTAGAATTTGCATGAAACTACTTGATTTTCTCTTGAAAGTAAATTAAAGCAGAGAGATCTGAAACAGAATTCTGTTTCTTTTCTGTGGCCCAGAGGTTAAATAAAATGCACATATACTTCCTCTTTTATGACTAATACTATGATAAATTAAATCCTGCTTCAAAAATTGGTATGCTTACCCCATAAACAAGTTCTCCCACCATCCCATTCCAGATTTTTGTCTCTGGATCCCTTGCTCCATATTTTCCATCAGGAACAATGGCAATTTTGTACTTGATACCAATATGTTTTGCAATTTCTGACGCCAGATCTACACAGTATCCTTCAAACTTGTCATTCCCTTCAAACGTATCATGGTTTTTCTTGAACATAACATATGGGGCTTCCTATAATGAAAGAAGTAGAACTGTAAAGGAGAAGTATACAGAATATACTCTGAAAAGTAACATGTCATCTACTGACTGAGCGACACACATTTTATCAAAAGTTCATGGATAGTATTAGCACATTTAAATTAAAATGTATGAACAGAAATCCTTCTGGAAAGATATACTACTTACACTATAATTTGGCTTATACATTTCACAAGATTTACGAGCTTTACAAATTATAAACACAAAAACTATCCAAGAGGACACATAACTTTTACTTTGTTTTAAATGAAAGACCTTAGTGCAGTATATGCTAAATTTAAAGGGTGACTAAAGGTTGAACATGTACAATGCAAATGACTGTGGGATAATGCAAGATGTAATTTATACTTTTGACTTCAGTAAGTAAGCATATAATGTGGTTACTGTCTATGTAATTTCAGATGCACAGCCTGAATGATTTGCTTTCTTGGGGTTTAGAATGCATAGTTACTAGGAGGCTACATACATCTTAGTGAGAACACAGAAATACATTCTCAAGGAAACATGTATCTTCCCCTTTGAATGAACACTGCAGATTCCGCAAGTCTTTTATGATGAATCTAAGCAATATGCATGGACAAGAATGGTATTAAGCTGACACTGATTTTACATGCTGCATGAAAAAGAAGTACTAAAACATTTTGGGTTAGTGAGTGCCGTTGAAAGCAATTAAAACCTGTCTCAAAAAATGGTTCTTACATTCCCTGTGTAAACCATTCTATCACAACAGTGAACATGATGTGATGGGAAAAACAAGGTCACACTGGGAAAACAAGGTCACATTTTTCCTTTTTTGTTCTGTGTGGATTCAGACTTTAGCAATTAGTATGTAAAACTATACTTTCTGGTGGTATTTTAAATTACTTCACATAATTCATAGTCATAGGCAGTTCCAGATAAAATACTTGTCATAATGTCACCCTTTGTTTCAATTTACATTACAAAATATGGCAACTTAAGTTTTCTCCGTGCTGGCACTGGAGAATGTTGTTTTTCTGACACTAACCTTGGTAGTACTCTGCCATATTTGTATCTTTCCTACATACATAACTAGTACAAAAATAAAAATAAAGGTAAACGTGTAGTCTGAGAATGTCTGCTTCCTTGAAACTACGTCAACATCAGCTGTAAGCAATAGCAATTTTGTAACCTCTGTTAGGTGTTTAACAATGGACGATACATGGCATGAATAAACCAATTCAAAAATTTTTCAGTGTGTCAGGTAAATTTTTCATTTTGGTTACCTTTTCTCCACCCAGGAGAAGAATTTGATAGGCAAGCCTGAACAGTATCTGTAATTTACTATTATAAGGTGAAAAGGCAGAGAAATAGAAAAGAGAGAGATTATACATGGGAGGCACTATTCCCTTTTCTTATGTTGGTTTATCTCTGAGGTAACTGTCCAGGACCCACCTCCCTATAAGGATGGCAGAACGGAGCTTTGCGTAATGTGAGCGGAGAAAGTTGTGTATTTTATTTACTTCAGTGTGACAGAAAGGTCCCAGATTGAATTCAAGACAGTTTGGGAATAGGGAAGTGCTAGTGTTTCATTAAGGACAGAGTCAGGTTCCTAAGTACTGCAGGAATGTTTCACTCTCTGGTGGATTCCCAGAGCACCTCTCCTCCCATCGTCTCCTTCTTACGTTATTCTCTGCTATGGACATACCTCTTTGGGCCACAATCCCTGAGCAGCACTTCAGTGCTGGAGGCCATTGATGCATTATGGCCATCACTTCACCTAAGCAACCACACAGCATAGGAAAGTGTCCACACTGATACCTCCAAAGTCAAACTCCTTCTGACTACCTGGTTCCTTGACCTATATATAAATGTCCAGAAAAATCTGAGGGTGACAACAGCAGATGATTGTTGCATTTCTTGAGCACATAGCTACGGCTGCTGCACGGCCAAGGACCACCAAGGACTTCTAAAACTGGGGCAATCACCAAACAAGCTGTTGTCATCCTGAGGCGTGTGGCCAGGGCACTGAGAAGACCACTGAGCTACAGCATTCACTACGCACTGTAATCACTGCCGTGAGGCAGGGCAATGCCTTTGCCCGTCCAGAGTTTGTATCTTCAGAGGAAAACTGCTGACTATTACCAGCAGCCTGCACCATTTCTTGTATTAATATCCCCAGTTAAATCAGCTTAATCTCAGCCACCTTTCTTCCAGAGGGAAGGAGGAAGAGGAGCAGGGAGAAGGAGTCTTGCCCGCTCTTTGTAGTAGATCTTGATTTTGGGAAGTATTTTGGGCATATAAATAAAATGTTCCTCCCTCATGTAGGCTTTTTGCTCCCACAAGAGCAAAAGCCAAAATCTGCGTCTTTCTACATCTGTTATTTCACAAAAATGATTAAAAATAAAGAGGTGTAAAATTTTATGTCTCCTGACTGTGATTTAGCCAACTGCTATCTAAAAATGCAACCAAGTTTGTCCAGTATCCTGCATTTGTGGACTCTCCTTACAAGCTTCAGTTACATTTGGTTGCTGCACCTCAAAAGCAGTTTTGTTTTTCAAAGACCAGAGTTAGTGACTGTTAGCTCTTCTAATTCAGCCTTTCTTATAAATCTCAAGCCAAAGTCATAAAATTAAAGTCACACCAGGAAATAATAGTTCTGGAGAGGGACACAAAGCAGACACGCACAGAGGAGGCCAGGTCAGCCTGCTCCTTCTCCCAAAACCCAGACACTGTGCTTCTGCCTTGCACCTTACCACTGACAGGGCTGCTACAAAAAAGCATTTAAACTGCCTCTGCACAGCAAAGCAAAATGAGGGATGCCTTATTTTTCCTGTTAAAGGCTAAATAAAGTTCAGCCCTCCTCCCCATGAGTTCTGTGAGGGAACGTTGAGAAGGGAAGCAGGGGAGTCCAACACTGTCCTTGGCAGGTACAAGCAGCAGTAATCCCATCCAATGGAGGGACCACGAAATGAGAAGTCAGAAAACATGGTTTCTGGCAGGGATCTGTTGGGTGACTTAGGGGAACCATGGGAGGTGATTCTGCCCCTCTCCTCCACTCTGGTGAGACCTCACCTGCAGTACTGCGTCCAGCTCTGTGGCCCCCAACGTAAGAAGGACAGGGACCTGCTGGAGCAAGTCCAGAAGAGGGCCACAGAAATGATCCGAGGGATGGAACACCTCTTCTATGAAGAAAGGCTGAGAGAACTGGGGTTTTTCAGTCTGGAGAACAGAAGGCTCTGGGGAGACCTTATTGCAGCCTTCCAGTAATTAACGGGGGCTTATCAGAAAGATGGGGATAAGGGGTAATGGTTTTAAACTAAAAGAGGGCACATTCAGACTTGATATAAGGAAGAAATTTTTGACAATGAGGGTGGTGAACCACTGTCACAAGTTACCCAGAGAGGTGGTAGATGCCCCCTCCCTGGAAACATTCAAAGTCAGGCTGGACAGGGCTCTGAGCAACCTGATCTAGTGGAAGATGTCCCTGCTCATTGCAGGGGGGTTGGACTAGATGACCTTTAAAGGTCCCTTCCAAAGCAAACTATTCTATGACTCTATGGTTCTCTGCCCATCCAATTCTCTTTCTACACACTCTGACCATACTGATTTAGAGCAAAATACAGCAAGGAACATCTCTTATAATGCAATTCTCTTATAGAATAAGGTAGTACCTCTTGCTGTGACTGCTTTAAAAGAAGCAGCAATTGAGTGAGATCTTCCAGTGTGAAACAATGCAATTAAAAATAATGGGAACACCTACTACCTTTTGCTGACTATGTTGTCTTTTTCCTCCTACCTGTTTTACACAGAATAAATAACATTTTATTTAATTGTTGTGCCTGCTTTACCTGCCAAATAATAAGAGATGTATTTTCAAGGTAGAATTTGATGCAGGGGATGCGGGTGGGACTGAATGTGGCTATCTGGTAAAGATTGTTTGCAAAAAAAAAATCAAATAGTAGCACTAGTTTTAAAATACGTAAATTTCAGACTTTGGGGGTATTTCAAACCAATGAGGTGTGCAGATGTTATTATAATAACATCAGGGCCCTGAAAGGCAAGTTTTACTGGTTTGCTACCAAGCAACTTAGATGAACTTGTAAGGTCACACTGCAAAGTCAAGAAACATCTGAATTGATCAATAGCATGTACTCAGCCATATCTTGATGCTCTTTTCTATCTGTGGCACTGAAAAGGATGATTTTTTTTCTGTACAATCTATTACAATAGCATTTTCTAAATTAGTAGTAATGTTAGTGTAACCATGCTAGTCTAAAGGTATAAGAGATGCAAGATATCTATGGAGGGGTAATATCTTTTATTAGATCAGCTGAAATAGCTGAAAACAGTAGGCATACTTTTTCACCATTTCCAGTTATAGCATCTTGTCTAATAAAAATATTACTTCTCCCCACCATCTTTGGATTGATTACATTTTTGAACTACAAACTCAACCTACTGATGTAAAACATGGGTTTGACTTACTGCTGAATGAAGTTTAACACCACAATATTTGCAGGATTTCAGCTGGTTAATAGTATTCTATGGGGTAGTGAATCAAAGAAAAGTCCACATTGAAATGATTAATGACTAGCGCAGAACAGATATTTGAAATGGTGCAAGCTTTACTTATATAATTCACAATTTTATAACAATACTTAACATTTGTAAATACAAGTTGATGTCTGCAACAATTACCTTTATAGATGTAAACAAATCATTCCACCACATTGCCACAAATTCATGTGTACAGTAAAATGCTCACAACTGATGATTCATACTATAAGGGAAGCTGGAGAAAGTAACTAACGCAAATACCAAACAGATCTATGTTTGGCTTTCCTATTCTGAAGTTAATTTCAAAATCTTTAAACATTGTAAAAATAATTTGTAAACGTGACAAATATTTGTGCAAGGAAATGTCTCACTTTTAGAACAAGAGTGGCACACATTATTACACTTTATTCTGAAAAAACACCTTCTGTAGATGTCAATAGAAGGTTTTTTGCTTTTGTGGTTTTGGGTTTTTTTTCTGAATAAAGTGTCCAGGATTCGGTTTGAAGTCTTTATTATTATCATGCAACAAACTTCAATTTTTTCTCCAGTCTAATAAAGAATTTAATTAATAAAATTTCGAATGAAAAAATACTTTTTTGTTATGAGAAAAGAGGTTATAGTTAGAATTTTTGAGGTAAGACTCCATCAAGAGTTTATCAGTCAAAACAATGAGGGTGATTCTCAGTCATGTAATGAATGTGTCTATCATCTGAGACACCCTAAGGTAGCCTGCTTGACCTCCAAGTGCCGTTCTGCAGGTCCTTTGTGCTGCCCCTTTAGGGATAGGTCTGATATCCTCAGTGCTAGGCATCCACCTATGGGCCACTGAATCAATTTCTACATCTCTGTGGACTTTGATGAAAACTTACACACTTGGGGCACAACTCATCCCACATGCCTGAAACAACATACAGTAGCTGAGACATCCACATGGAGTGGCTGTATATGGTGTAAAATAGGCAAGTGTCATCCTGACAGTGTAAGAAATGGGGGCAGGCAGTACATCCTAGAGCATCTTACATGTCACTGAGTGCTTGTAAGTGGGCAACTGAATCAATACCCTTTGTAAGGTCATCTACATTTAGGTGACTCAGTCTTGAATTGGGTCCTGTCCTTGAATCTTAATCTGCCAACATCAAGACTATCTCGTTAAAATACTGAGCTGGAAACCACAATGCAGACACAGCTCATTGTACATTGAGCTTTGGTTCTAAAGGATTTTTATGTTTTTTTTTAAGTTTTGCAATCTCAGCGTAGGTACAGAGTTGGCTGAATCATGAAAAGGATTAGAAAGTTTGGAGTAGTCTTCCCAGCCTATTCTCCTATGTTCTTCCTCAACATCTTGTCACCATATTTCTCAACTTGCTAAATTAGAGATGATCGTTCTTCCTAGCTAAGTCACTCACTTTACCTTAGTGTTAGAGGAGGGCTGCACATGGCGTCCCTTCTTCAGTCATACAATGAGCCTACTGCGCACTTGGAGGTCCCAAGCCCCCCCTGGAGGGAATGCTTCTGCACACAGGTAGAAAAACTGTCCTTTCCAGAGGGCCAGATGTGCAGGAGGCTGTGCATCACATGGAGTGCAGGACACAGGGGTCTACCATGAACTATAAAAGCAGGGCTGCGTGACAGCTGGTAGAGTAAAGCTGCCCCTGCTGCCACCTCTCGCTGGGCTGCTCCTTCACCACATGACTAATACGAGATAGGTTGAGTGCCTATGCACTAAACTAAAACTGTAAAATAAATTCTATGTGCTCTCACTATATTACAAATGAGCATAACATTTTGCCAAGTAGAAAACACTGTAGTAAGTTCTTTGAGTCCACAGCTAATATAAAATGCATCTTCTATGCAATAGCCATACAGCCACATTACAGCAAAGTAAGCATAGAGACATAAAAACTGAAGTGGGCAAATCAACTTGTGCTATTTGGCTTCAGGCAAAAATTAAAGCGAGCCATGCTGAAAACTTGTAAACTTTCCATACGCTGCCACGACACCTGTCTTTGAAGACTGAAAAGCCTGACTGCAGGTTGCAGAAGCTTTTCAGTTTAAAGTTGGGAAATACGCATGCAACCAAAAATATATGTGTCATCTACAATGGTTCAACTTCCCTTCAATGTGAAGAGGGCTGTGAAGAGGTCAAAACGTCTCTGTCTGGCATGTGCAACATGACTATAATACAGAGAAGAGCAAAATAACAGAATTCTGGAAGTTATTCTAGTTAAACATATCTTTGCTTTGTGTGTGTGATCACATGCTCGTGGATGCTAAAGAAATTGCCCTAGCAGGCCAATATTAAGAATCATGGTTCTAATCTGCCTTCAGCATCATGTGTGCAACTCCCAGCGGCGTCAATGGGAGATGAGCATGATAAGGCAGAGTTCACCATATATTCTTATTCAAACCAAATTCTGATATATTTCTCTTGCACTGTGATTTTGAAACATCGAAAGGGGACACTTCTGGTCAAGCAGCAGTGCTGCTTTCAAATAATTGCATTTATCCCCAAATGACATGCTGCATCAACACAGGGCATGCTTTGGAATATTAATTCAGTTTTTGGTTTTGAAAATGATCCCACCAGCCCTTTCAATACAGGGACTGGAAAAGTTCTTTTGAAGATAACATTTATTATTATGCACATCAAAATGCTTCAATGCAAACAGGACAGGCAAGGTAACACATTTTAAAAGCTTTCTTGTTTTCCTTTTTTTCCTTTCTGGCACACAGGAACCTTTTATATTACTTTTTATTATTTTTTTTTACTCGCTTCTCCTAAGCTTGGAGCTATTTATGGAAATTACAGTATTCATGTATGGTAGCTTCAGTCAAAGATATCAGGATTGGTATGAGAGGAAAATTTCGACTGAAAGCTTGTTATTCACATCGTTCTCTTCTCAGCTTGGCAAAGTTGAAGGTTAACGTCATCTGTTCTAGACATTTCAGATTAGTCACAGAACTTTTCTTGGTGGTTCAGTGCCTGGTCATCCAGTCAGAGGAACAGTAATCCATATGGAAAAATTAGCTCAATGCTACTACACTGGTGGTTAATACTTGAGCCTTAGTTAGGAATGTTCGCAGCATCTTGGGACTCTTTTCTTCCTTGATCAATTTCTTAAAATAGGATTCTTCATCAGAGGCTGAAAAGAGGAGGACTGTACTGAAGTATATTTTTTTTTCCATCACCAAGTCTTTTTTTTTTTTTCTTAGGAAAAAGATACATATATTTTAAATGTCCCATGCAAAAAAATAAAATAAAATAAAAAGTTACACAGTTTGGTTAGGAGTTACATTCTGAATTCCTGTATAGTACTTTGGTTGGTTTGCTTCTTCAGCAGATAAGAGATACTTAGCATATAAATGCTGATACACACTGCTGGAAAACTAGTAACTAACTGAATTTTTGAGTAAGAAAATGTCATGACACTTTCCTTTGGATTATTTTCAACTCTGTGTTAAATTAGAAAAATTATTGCTTAATAACACATGCAGAATATTCCTACCCACTTGAGACACAGCTATTCTAAAGGGTTAAAATGTCTTGTTTAAACGAAGCAGATGAAAAGGGCAGTGAACTGAGATGTAAAATCTTAAAAGCAGTCAGGTAAAGGTCACCCTTTGCCAGTTGGCTTTGACAAACATCAGCTTAAAAGGGCATGTCTGACTTCAGAGGGAAAATTGTTAAGTATTTTGTTTAAAATACAGAATTGCAAGAAAAAAATGGTTTTGAAAAACTAGGCATTGAAAATGTAAATGAATGAAGCAACCACATTCTCCACACCAGTAACACTGGAAAACCAAACCCCAACTCTATTTAGATTTAACTAAAATGGAAATGTTACTGAAATGCTGAATAAGCATATTATGAAATATGTTCAAATACATTTGCTAAATTCATGTTTTCATTCACAATTGCAAGCAGATAATCCAGTTCTGATTGGCTGACTGAACTATACTACTTCGAATTTTAGCTCTTGCTGGTGTTATTTTTGAATTTATAATGTATCAACTAAAAGGGACACTGGCATTACAGACATCTCATTTTATACCCTCTGTTTAATTCTGTCATTCAGAGGTTTTGGGTTTTTCTTCCAGTTTCTTGTGAGTCAAGATTTATCAATTAGAGGTTGAAATAATTCACTTATATTTCTGAGACTTACTTCAGTAAAAAATGAAAGAGACTTAATACAGGAAAAAAATTACCGCAACTCAATTTTAAAAACCTGATTTCAAGTGAATCGTTACATTAAATGTGTACCAAAAAAACTCTGTACAGACATGATAGTCAAGATAATTAAGACACATGGCTCTCACCCTCCCACTAACCTAGGAGCTGCCAGACTAAATTAGACCATAACTACAAATGAGATTGTGTCACACACGAGTATAAGCATTAAACAAAGAAACACCTTACCAAAATTGTAGTGACAACTACTGTTCTATTCTCAATGGCTGAAGTGTCATTTCCAAGTGTAGGTTCATGCTGAATCAAAACTAGTTTATCCATGTCATTCCAGTAACCCACCTGCAAAACAAAATGGATATAATTTACAGTAGAAAAGTCTACATTCTGTATAATTACAAATATAAATGATGATAAGAATAGAGTAATCCAAAGATAAATTTGTACCAAAGTAAGTGCTGTCACTCTTAGGCAGGTGCCTGGTGGTATGTATCTAACACTTTGGGTATACCATCTTGCACCACTGCTGCACAGTTAGACCTGGTATCACTGCCACTCAGCTGTTCCTGAACGATCTGAGCTACTTACTTCAAGGCACAAGTTAAATCCCATTTTCAGTAGTTTGAAGCCTTTCTAGGGCATAAATCAGATACGAGAATTTTTGTTCTCTACAAGGAAATTTTCATTCACTAATGCTCCAGATCTCCTGTGCTTAGGCAGAAGAGTGAAAGACGTCTGGATGACAGCTTTGCAATTCAATGGCTGATCTCAATTCCCTGCTCCATCGTCGGCCTCCCAGGAGACCCCAACACAGGGACTTACAGGCTTGTTCCACTTAACTGCTGGCACTGACCTTCAGTACCTACATTAGGAGCCCTGTTATTAAAGTTTTCTTTACACCCACTGGACAGACAGGCACCACCAGGCAGTGACTCAGCTCACGTAGGATAAGCACCCCCCGAGAAAAGTGCTTGCTTTCCCCACTGACTCTAAAGCATGGTGAGAGTGACTTCACTCTAAAAGTACCTCTGGTAAGTGCCTACAGGGAGGTGGAACAAATCAGGTTTTCTTCTCGGTGTCTGCATTTAGGCTGCCACAAGCCTTCCCAGAGCAGCCTGAAGGTGAAACAGCTGCCTTTGTTCATTGCTGGCGATGAACTATTCTAGAGACAGGCTTGAATCACTCATTCTTGTATTCCCATGGAGAAAAAAAGTAATCAAAAGTGGTATGCCTGCAGCCAGAAGCCTTCCCTTACATACAGACATCACTCACTGTGGCACACACCTCTGTACTCAGTGCAGCCTGCAGCTGCGCCCTGTGCATCGGTAGGGATGCTGCCGGGCACAAGGTACGAGTCAACACCCTTTCCTGGGAGGGCCCAGGGATGCAGTGCTTGCTATAAGAACAGACGGGATGAAGGCAGCTTGAGAAAAGGAGGTTCCCCTTCAGACTTTCATTGATGTTTTTGGAAGTGTCTCAATGAACACTTATAACTTCCCACTCACCCCCCAAAAATCCCCACAGGCTATATACTATGTCTTTGGATGGCCAAAAGAAGATATGAGACCTAAAATACTTTACTGTTCTTTAAATCCTGGCTATTCAGAATCTCACAGCACGCTCATCTCCTCACTCCATGTGGTGACAACATGTGTAGTATCTGTATCAGCAAGTGGTATTTCTGGATTTAGAGTTCTTTCCAATCATTTAATGTTGCCCTGGGTGAAGTTAGGTAGGAAAGGTAACTCGCAAGGCTTCCTGGGAATGTTGTGTGCATGATGTTCCAAGTACAAGGCGGATGTCTATGAAACAGCAAGTAGTTCGTGACAGTGGTCCCTTGTCTCACTCTAACTGGGTGATGTCTAATTCCACCTTCCCACCCATCCTTTCAGCACACCAGACACAGGTCCCTTAGCTGAAGCTGCTCTCACATCTAACATGGGGCTCACTAGCAAACACCCTCCCTTTTCTCCTTCTTGCCATTCTCTTTTCTATAACCAGGTCGTGGTTGTCTGTGGACCCTCTGACATGGTTGCTGGGGAATGGGTCAGTGCCTCTTCCTCTGACCCAGTGCTGACAGCACTCAGCTCCGTGTCAAACGGACAACATAAACACAACCATGTCAGTAGAACAGTGTTCTAATCCCACCTAAAGGGGCTCTCCAGGCTGCTGAGAAACGAATGAATTAAGAGACTGACGTTTTTTCCCAGGAAAGGTGCAGACAGTGGCAGTGATTTTAAAAGGTTCCTATCAAAGAAATGCAATTCAAGCCAGCACAGCTCACTTTTTAGAAACACCTGGGGACCAGTCAGCAGCAACTCCCCCTTCCCTTCTTTCACAGAATCACAGAACCTTTAAGGTTGGAAAAGACCTTCAAGATCATCAAGTCCAACTGTTAACCTAACACCACCATGCCCCTCTTCCTTGATTAATTAGGAGTTCATGAGACCAAGAGCTGGGAGAGAGGAATGCCTTGTCTACCTTGCCAGAAGAGGAAAGGGAATTTTAGTGGAAAGCAGGCTCCGGACAGAGCGCCAGGGTACTGTCAGTGCCAAAGGACAGTCTGTGCCTTGGATGAAAAGACTTCAGTGTGATGGAAGCTGGCTAAATGATCAGATCAGTTATGCAGCCAATATTATTTCTAACATTACTGTAGAACCCAGACTAAAGTTCACCATCACATAGGATTCTGCCTCCATGACGTCAAGAAACATTTTGTTCAGATCAATGCAGTGATGTGATATGAGAGTCTAGAAGTGCACGGGAGTGCTTTTGGTTCCTGGTCTCATAAGCATTAAAAAATCCTGTATATTCTTAAAACAGCCAAACCTCCTCTTGATTTTTATATTTACTATTTCATTAATTTCCTTTCTGAAAAAGAATTATGGAGAGGCAAGTCATTTCAGCAGTCCCTAGAGCAGTGTGCAGACACACTCACCACAGCAGTGAATATGCATTTCTGAGAATTACAAAGACATGAAGTAATTCAATATGAGTATGAGTGAATATGAGTGAATTTTTTTTCTATTATTGAAGCAAATAAGCACAAACTGTTCCCATCACAGCGTCTAGTATATTTAGTCTTTGCAATCGCTATTATAGCGCAGGAGCTCTGATTTAGGTGTCTGAAGCTACCAGGAAGCTTCAGCATTGCAGATACAGTGGAGAGGGAGGTTTTCTTCCTAGTAGAATGCCTTGCTAACAAATATTCTTTTTCATCCAGACAACCACAGAGTCATAGATACAATTGATAACTGAAAATGTCAAGTTCCTGTCACAAACTGTGACCAGATAAAGGCAGAATATGTACACCAAAACCTGGCAGTTTGGGAAGCTCATTATAATGGTGAATGATTGTTTTTCATTGTGCGATTCCTCACTGCTGAAAAGTTCAGAAGGAAAGCAGAAAACGAATGATGTACAGTGTTATAACAGTGAGTACCATATGAAAATGCAGACAGAGATAAAGGCGGATTTTGAGGAACGGCAAGCATTCTTTAAAGGGATTTTAGTTTGTGTGCATGGATGTGAACTTGCATGTGTGCATCTCAAACCTGCGATAAAGTAACTCTGGGACTGGATTATTGAAATATATAAGATATATAGAATCATAAAATCATTAAGGTTGGGAAGGACCTTTAAGATCATCAAGTCCAACCATTAATCCAGCGCCACCATGTCCCCTAGACCATGTCCTGAAGCGCCACATCCACACGTTTCTTGAACACTTCCAGAGATGGTGACTCCACCACCTCCCCGGGCAGCCTGTTCCAATGCCTGACCACCCTCTCAGTGAAGAAATTTTTCCTAATATCCAATCTAAACCTCCCCTGGCGCAACTTGAAGCCATTTCCTCTTGTCCTATCACTAGTTACTTGGGAGAAGATGCCAACTCTCTCGTTGCCACAACCCCCTTTCAGGTAGTTGTAGAGAGCGATAAGGTCTCCCCTCAGCCTCCTCTTCTCCAGACTAAACAACCCCAGTTCCCTCAGCTGCTCCTCATAAGACTTGTGCTCCAGACGCCTCACCAGCTTCGTTGCCCTTCTCTGGACACGCTCGAGCACCTCAATGTCCTTCTTGTAGTGAGGGACCCAAAACTGACACAGTATTCAAGATGTGACCTCACCAGTGCCAAGTACAGGGGCACAATCACTTCCCGACTCTTGCTGGCCACAATATTTCTGATACAAACATCTATATCATGACATCATATCATGACACTTGTATAAGTATATAGATTCACAGTCACTGTGAGAGCACTAAATAGCAATATGCTTTCCTATAAATACCTCAAATCCCCAAGGAAAAAACTCTTCAAAGGATAGGGTTGAATTAAGCTGTCAAAATAGACCTGATTCTGTTTGGATTGCAGTTGGACTTCATAGCCTCAAATCCCCAAGGAAAAAACTCTTCAAAGTATAGGGTTGAATTCAGCTGTCAAAATAGATCTAATTCTGTTTGGATTGCAGTTGGACTTCATAGCAGTTTCATCCACTTATACAGAGGCTGAATTTGTCTTTTAGGAAACAATATTGCAAAAATACCTGCCTCAAAGTAAATTTTGTCCAGATGGCTTTTGAGTACTCCAAGGATGGAGACTCCACAACCTCCGTGGGCAACCTGTGCCAGTGCTTGGTCACCTTCACAGCAAAAAAGTGTTTCCTGATGTTCTGAGGGAACCTTCTGTGTGTCAGTTTGTGCCCACTGCCACTGGTCTTGTGCTTGGGCACCACTGAAAAGAGCCTGGCTCAATCTTCTTTGCAGCGTCCCTTCAGGTGTTTGTACTCATTGATAAGATCCCTCTTGAGCCTTCTCTTCTCCAGGCTAAACAGACCCAGCTCTTTCAGCCTTTTCTCATAGCTCATAGGAGAGACATCTCCCATCATATTTGTGGCCCTTTGCTGGACTCTCACCAGTGTGTCCATGTCTGTCTTCTACTGCGGAGCCCAGAACTGGACACAGCACTCCAGGTGTGGCCTCACCAGTGCTGAGTAGACGGGAAGGATTGCCTCCCTTGACTTTCTGACAATACTTTGTCTAATGCAGACCAGAATACCATCAGCTGCCTTTGCTGCACGGGCACATTACTGGCTTATGCTCTACTTGGCGTGCACCAGGACCCCCAGTGCATTTTATGCAAAGCTGTTTCCCAGCTGGGTGGCCCTCAGCACATACTGGTGCCTGGGGTTGCTCGTCCCCATGTGCAGGACTTTGCTCTTCTCCTTGTTGAACTTCATGAGGTTCCTGTTTGCCCATTTCTCCAGCCTGCTGAGGTCCCTCTGGATGGCAGCATGACCCCCTGGTATATCAGCCACTCCTCCCAGTTTGGTGTCATCAGCAAACTTGCTGGTGGCACAGTCTGCCCCAGATCCGGACCATTAATGAAGATCTTAAACAGGACTGGACTCAGTCTTGACCCCTTGGCGACACCAATAGTTACTGGTCTCCAATTAGACTTCAGATGACTGATCACCAGGCCCTGGGTGTGGCCTTCAGCCAGGTTTTATTCCACCTCATTGTCTGCTTATCCAGCCCCTGCATCAATAAATTCTCTGTGAGGATCTTGTGGGACACATTGTCAAATGCCTTAATGAAGTTCAGGTAGACAATATCCATACATCTTGCCCAAGCTGGAATTTAGCACCCAAATCTTAGGTTGTCTTGTGCATGTACATGTATAAGTATATGCTTTGTTTACTTCTTTCTTCTTTTTTTTTTTTTTAACTGGTGGCTTGTGGCTTAGACAGGTGTAT